GGGGGGGGGCATAGGGAGGGCTGTGCAACACAGAGAAGACAAGTAGTGAGTCAACAGCATCTTACTAGGCTGATGGAGAGTGACTGTAATGGGGTTTGTGTTGGGGGGACGGTGAAGGGGGGAGTCTAGTAACCATAATGTTCTTCATGTAATTGTAGATTAATGATAATAAAATGAATATAAAAGAACAAAAACAAAAAACCCCCAATCTAATTAAATAATCAACTCTTAGCTACATGTACTCAGGTGACAGGACATCCATGTGGATGACCTAATAAATGCCAAGAGTAATTCATTAACTTATAAATTCAGAGAGCTCAGAGAGCCCCTGAGCATCATTTGGTAGTACAAGGTGAAGGTGGGGAGTAACAGTGGAGAAAGAGAGTGTCAAGGAACGCATTAGGGTCCTCAAGACCACCCGTCATCTGCACACTAACAGTAACTGTGATGATTTACTCTGGGAACATTGAAAAACAATGGTGGTGTATCCAACATGTTTTGATTCAAAATACGAACTTGGAAATGTAATTTTTTCACAAGATAAATTAGCATCATACTAGTTTCAGTGGAATTGGCACTATGTTTCTGCAACAGCAGTTATGACCATACACTTGTTTATATATTTCCACACTAGACTAGATTTCTGAGGAGAGAAACCTTATCTCCGCATCTAAATATCCTGAGTAGAGACCTCAGTGCTAACATAATAATGTTTACCAATGAGTGAATCAATCAATGAAGAATGAAAGATCAAATTAACATCAGCAGTAAAAAAGATAGAGGTAAGTCAAATACCTACTTTACAAGGACAGTTAAGTTCTTCAGAAGAATGCTTTGACTAACTGGAGTTTTTGCTTTGCTGTAATATCTATTATGAGTATACAAAAACTAGGAAGAAAAGCAGCCCAAATGGATAAGGTGGCAAGGAGATGACATACTGGCAAATTTCAAGTTACTGTATTTGCTTTTTATTATGATAATTAAGATACAACTAAAATACAAGATCCCTTAAGTAAAATATCACATCTTCAAAGCTTGCAAAGTGTTTGTGATGTCAGGTACCAAATGACAAATTTTGTACTTTATCCAAGAAAAAAATATTTGTATTTCAAAATAGATTTTCATTACTTATATTCTGAAAATGCTTATGTATTATTGACTAGATAGTGACTGTATTTAAATTATTTCTTCTGAATTGTAATAAAACCAAGTTTAATGGTGATTTCTAAGACTCATTAAGTAATGTATCAGCAGCTATAGTACTTATTTCTAAAGTAGAACAGCCAGAAAGTTTTTTAATGGATTTTCATGAATTTAATATAAGACATTTTAATAATAAGCAAACCTTGTCAAATTTTTTAGTTATACCAGAAGAATGTTGAACATAGTACCCTTGGCCAAATTACTTCATCCATAACTTCATAGAATCTGATTAAGCAAAGTTCACATGAACGTGTGTAGCTGTTTTCCATAAAATTCACCTCAAGATTTAAAGGAAAAAACAGAACACTTAAATAGAAAAAAAAAAGTTACCTTGCCTTCGCAGTTCATTTTTAACAGCTTCAACACCTCCTGTTTTTTCAATAAAGTCATATATAACTTTTGATGTTTCTCTGTCTTTAAGTTGTGCCTCTGAGATTCCACACATATCAAAAAGATTCTTCAATTCTGGATCCAAATTATTCAACTGCAACAGATAAAGTAACTAACTATAAATCCAGCTCAAAAAATAAGCATGTTAAAATTCTTATCTGAGCCCTTTATGAAATTATCTTATGAAATCATTTAAGGTTATAAACTTTTAATATGGTTGTATTATTTATATGCTAACTAGACTTTCTTATAAAAAATAGAACAGATAAGAATAATAGATTTTATATTTTAATCATATTTTTTTTGTTCCCTGCCTTTGAAAGAACATTTCATTCATTTTTTTATTAACCCATTCATGATTCATACATCTCTAATGCTCACCTGTTCCACCTTGTTATAAATAAGATTTATGTTTAATCATAAATAAAACAAAAAAGTAAATCGATTTGAAAATTTTAGGTCAAGGCCCTCCTTGTAACCTAAGCACCCCACAGTGCGCAACCCAAAGAAGAATTCAATAAATTTTGTGGAGTTATAACACTGTAGTTATAAGAAAAAAAACAAAAGGACTTGATTCCAATCAGAAATAACATTTCTCTTCAAAATAACTTTTCCAAACCCTGATTATCTATCAAATGTGAATAACATATTACTTAGGTAACCAAAATAGATTAAATGCTAAATAAACAATTATTTTTGGCAGCAATTTCACCTACCTTGCTCACAGTGCTATAAATTAATGAATGATGAAACTGCCGAAAAGAGTTATAGAAGAAGATCTAGACAATTTAACAACTGGATATTAGAATTTGATTATACTATTTTGATTATAGTATTTTTCAGTAATTTGGAACATATTCTCCTGAAGTGATTATTTAGTATTTAGCAGAAATAATTTTCTTCTCTTGGCTTCCAAAACACAAGGATTTTACATTATAGTATATAAAGCCAAGGAGTACAAAAACTTTGTCTTTGGGGGCTTAGCCATGAATGACAGAACAAAACTATGGTTTCAAAGCTCAGTGATATATGTACATAAATTTGAGCACATTCAGATAAAATCAGAATTCACAAAAATGAATAATTAAAAATAAAAATCTAAAGAAAAGCGATAATGTTCCCACATATTTAGAGTAAAAAGGTTTATGGCTTGTGAAAACACTTACGTCAAAACCAGTATTTGGATCCCAACCAACATGTCCAATGTGCCTAAAGTTGTTGGCAGAAAAAAAAAAAAGAGAGAAAGAAAAAGAAAATACATAAAGGGCATGAAAACAATATATATGAAATCTAATCCATCCAATGAATTTTTGGCCTGAATTAACAGTTCTTAAAGACATTCAGAGAAAAACTATATGAGTATTTTGGAGATCAGGATTCTAGTCCTGATTCTGATACTAATTAAGTATTAACATTTTTGCATAATATTTCTGAGCATTCATCTTCTTAACTATCAAACTAGCATAAGAATATGAGCATCACATATGAAAGGACAGGAATTTTGTAATGAGCAAGTGAAATGATATAAGAATACTTGAATTATGCTAAAAAAACACCAAAGGTTTGACATCTGCTTACACATAATGTTCCTATGTTAAAATCTAATCCCCAATGGGATGGTATTTGGAGGTGAGGATTTGGGGAGGTAATTAGGTCATGATGGTAGATTCTTTTAAGAATGAATGACATTAGTGCCCTTAAGAAAGAGGATCCAGAAAGCTCCTTTGCCCTCTTCCAAAAGGGGAGGACACAGAGATGGTTGTCTATGAACTTGAAGTGGGACTTCACCAGACATCAAATCTTGCCTGCCTCTTCCCAGACTCCAGAACTGTGAGAAATAAATTTCAGTTGGTTATAAGCTATTTCAGTTGGTTATAAGCCATCTAGTCTATGGTACTTGGTTAAGCACCCAAACAAACTAGGACAATGCCTCCAGGCAATTTCCAAATACCATTTATAGAGAAAAGTGAGAAATCATTTTTATGTACAATAATTAGTTGAAGAAGCAATTCTGTTTTTCTTTTCTGATGGCTGGAAAAGTAAATAAACTGTTAAGATTCAGAGAAAATCTACTGAGCAATAACAAAACAAAACTCCACAGCTAAATAGATATGTAAATGTAAAAGTAATAAGAGTCCTCCTAAAAATAAAAATTTCTAACAAGTTAAAAATCAAGAGCAGCAATAAGTAAACTGAAAGTAAAGAACAGAACAACAAAAGAACTGTCTTACTGGAAATTGCTTGGTGTTCCAATATCTGCCTTGGTTATCCTCTTCTTTTTAGTTTTTCCTTTTTTCTTTTCTTTGGTATGGGAGATATTGTTCACTGGTGGACCATAAAATCTATTTGTTGTGATTTCTGGATTTTTTATGTCAACTGTTGCCATGGGTAGATTAGGACCTGCAAATAAAGTCGAAGTAATATTAAAGAGAGATAATTTAAGATAACAATTCTTACAATTATAGTTTATAATTTAAATATCTTTCTCTGAGGTAGGACCACTTCATTACTATAAATTATTTACATTTTAAATTTGGATGGTAATTTTTAAATAATGGAAAAAATACAGCCTAAATTTCAAAAGCCTAAAATAAATTTTTGGATGCATTAACATAGACAGCATTATTTCAAAGCAAACTTAACATTCTTATAACATTAAATCCCATGAGGAATATGAATTTTTAACAGAAATTTAAACCTAATTGATCTGGTCTCTTAAATTCTGACTATAATAGCCTCTCAGTAAAAAGGTATATATCACATAACATGAAACAGTAAAAAAAAATGTACAAGAAGCATTTACTTTGTTTTAAATCTAAGAAAGAAATCTAGTCTTACTTTCCTGATTCAACTTTATTAGTCCATGAGGAAAAAAGTACACATTTTACTACTACTTTTTACCAAAACTAACATATTTAAACCCAGTAATATTTTCCCCAAAACATTTTCACCTTTCACAAGGTTCAACAGCAAAAATGCTTCAGATATTATTAACAACATCTTCAGGAATGATACAAATATAGCATAAAATCTGTTTTGTAATTCACAAAAATATTCTTGGTCTTAAAAGTATGAGAGTCTGAATGAAATGTATTCAACTTAAAAATTCTTATAAATTTAAAGGGCAACACATATTCCATAGAGATTCCATTTTAATGTATGATTCTCTGACAAAACCTATCAGAGCAAATTTCCGAGATGCTTATGCTAATTTCAAAATGTTATATAAAATACAATCCCTATCATGCAGAAAAACAGCTAACATAGCAGGCCTGAGATGGGTACTCTTAGAAACAACTGCTTGCAAAGCTGGCCTTTAGCTGGCATCTGGGAACTACGATTTGAGAGGGTTCCCTTCATTCTCTGGTAAGATGGGCTCATTGTGCCTCAACTGTTTGTGCTAACACAATGTGGTTTATGCCAAACACCTGTTCCTTCTGGGTGTCTAGAATCTAAGTATGTGCTAGACAAAGGATGCCTACTGTCTAGCCACCCCCACCCAATAAACCTGGGGCACCTATCTCCAATGAGCTTCTCCTTTAGGCAATATTTCACACATTGTAATAATTCATTATAATTAGGCACATCCACTGTGACTCAAAAGGGGCAAGACTGGGAAGCCTGTGTATGATTTCTCTCAGACTTAACCCCATGTGTCTTTCCCTTTGCTGATTTTGCTTCCTACCCTTCACTGTAATCATATTTGCCATGAATACCACTATGTGCTTGGTCCTGAGTCCTTCCAGTGGATCACCAGCTGCAGGGGTGGTCCTGGGGAACCCCCCCAATAATTACAGAACAGCAAACAGAAATCCCAAGAAATTATAGGCTAATGTATATTAGATGATCACTTAATACTAATTTCACTTTAATTCTTCAACTGTACTGAAAACCTCAAATGTACTCTATTCATTAAAGTTATCTAAAAGAAAAATGTTTACTTATATATAACCCACTGTTCTCTCAACTCTATTAAAGATGAAATATAGCTAAAATAAAATTATGAAAGCCATCTGCCACCTTATCAGAAAAGCAATTTGAAAAGATGTGTATTCTTAATATCAAAATTCAGTTATTTTCCCTCAACAGTCAAAATTTACTTATATGTAAGTATAAATGCAAATGTCTAAAAGTTCTTTTTGTAATTTCATACAAAATTCCATGGGAAGTTGTTCATATTGGCAAGAAATAAAGAAATTCTTGGAAAATATGGAAGGTAGTGAATAATATGAATAAAATCATTAAAAGCTGATACAGTGTCAGGGAATAATCTGGAAATAACTGGATCAAGAATTAAAGGTTACTTAAAGCAATAGAGATGGTTTATTAAATAGATAAAGACTTTGATTTTCCAATTTGTTCAGATATCAGATTTCAGTGTTTACAGTAGTTTCATAAAATTAAGGGACCTACTAAGAATATCCAGCATTTGAGTGTTAGAGGGTTGATGGAAGGTTACACGCATACCTTCATAGACATATCTAATGATCTGTTTTTACTTCTCTTTCTTTCCTTTCTTAATATAATTTATCCTTACCAATCAATATCAGCACCACCATCCACATAAAGATGCTGCAAATTACTATTTACTCTTTTATTTTCATACTTAATAAAATTCAAGAACTAACTTTAGACAGACTTAGGACTGTCAGAGTTAGGTACTCTCTTTGTATCTAGTACCCTTCCTGAAATAGGTATTCAAATAGCTAATATAAAAGAGCAACCAGATACACCACTAAAAAAATAACAAAACAAAATTAGCAACTATAATTAGCTTTTAGGAAAAAAACAAATACAAATATTTCTATGCTGCTTTAATTTATATAAAAGTAATCTACTATACTATGTATGTTCTAATTACAATTGGATAAAAGCAAACTTAATGGTTTAAATTACCCAAGCTAATAAATTCTTTCTGGGGAATAATAACATTAAGGTTCTTGTAAGCCTGATTTGTAACTCACTAGAGAAAACATCTCAGCCATCTCTTAAGAAATTTCAAGGATGAAGAGGACAGGAACAAAGTGTAAGTGGTATGTGGAATGAATAACCAAATTTAACTCAAACTAGTCAGACCGATTTTCTTCCTACCTTTACCCCCAAATCAGGCATAAATACAATGTTACTCATCTGCCAAGCAGTTTATAAAGTCTTTGCATTGGTATTTAGTGTCATTACACTTCAATATCATTAATTCTGGCTAAAACATTTTTTATTAAGTCAATAGAGGAAAATCCAAATGATAAGAGATATATAGAAAATTAGTATTAGCTGGGAAATTAGTTTTTTTTCTAAATCTTTTTTTTTTTGATGAAAACTGTGGGCAGGAAGAGTAAGGTGATCTCTCAAGTCACACAATTAGCGACTAAGGCAAAGGTGAACTGTTACCACGGTTCCTAGTCCACTATCCTTTCAATTAACTATTGTTCCTTTTACACAAAAGTCAAAACATAAAGTGATTGACAATTACAAGTGTTATCATATATCATTCTTTACCAATTTATTAGTTCTCTGAGTTTATAATCCAACAGTTCATCATTCAATAAATATTTACTGATAACTTTCAAAATTTAGAAAATGGGTTTTTCGCATGTTCAACAGATTAGGTACCTGGTTATTTCTGTTGGCTGTATTCCTTTACTTTAGAGTTTGAAGGTGTTAGAAAGTAAGTTTAAAATGGTGTTCTAAAGTCCAAACAAATATTTGTTTCAAAAGTGACACACTAAAAATGTGATAACCTGTTCAAGGCACAGAGTCATTTTTTAATAAGTTTATGGAAGATTTGGTAGCAGAGATATTATTAATCATTTCTAATAAAGTTTAATTTAATTATTCCATTTATGAAATTACACTCATCCTAAGAACATGTACTAAGTAAATATATAATGGAGGGGATCTTTCCCCTATTTTTTCAAAAGACAGTCAAATGACAAATGACCTTCTTCTGACTATCAACTGTCAATTGAAAAGGTCTTTTAATATTCTGACAGCTTTTCTAGTAATTTTAAATCTAAAAGAACTAATTGAAGTCCTTCCCTTAATTACATATAAAGTTGAGAACTCTAACCAACGTAAAATAGTTGAGAAACAGGTGTCCCAGAGGCCTCAGATGTCAGTCATGAAGCTGAGAACAAATCATTGGAAAAGCATCTGAGCTAAAAGATGAGATTGATCAATAAAGAAAAAAGATGTATGGATTAGGAACTAGTGAGGAAGACACTGCATTGCATTTCAGGAATATACATTACTTCTACATAATGTGCCTTTTTAATAGTTACAGTTTGAAAAGCTCTGCTAAACTGATAATCAGCACCTGCAGGGACATTGCAAGGCAGTGAAGATGCCCACTGCCACCTAGTGGTAGCACATCAAAACAGTTAAGTATTCTGCCACCTTGGAAATGGTGGTGGTGGGGGATGTCTCTGCACAGTGGGGAGCACAAACAACCCACAGCAAGAAAAAATATTATAACTTCCAGTATATCTATCTCTTTCTCTATGGCATATGTAATATGTGGATACCATACTATATATATATTTTATAATTAAGTATACAAATATTGGCAATATATGCTCATAATTTTGCCTTTTAATACTACTATTTTTTAAAAACTTTCTTTTTATTTAATGAAAAAAGCTTAGGACTACTGCACCAAAGGGTTAAAACTATACATGGAAGGATTCAGAAGCAAGAGTATCTCAGAGACAATAACTACATTTAATTATGATTTTCTTTCTTACTAGGGGTAACAAAATTGTGAGACATCACTGTCACATAAAGAACAGACAAATTCTACCTATTCACGGATTAAGTGCCTCTTCAGAAATACAATTTGTATGTACTGAAAAGATTGAGTTAATAAAAATAAAGTATTTACATTCTTAACTTTAATTATATTATTTATACAATATGTACAGTTTAAAATCTCAGGTCACTTTCCTAAAAGTGCTACCACTAGGCAGCCTTCCCACAGGTACTCAGTATACGGCCACAGAACACAAAGTAACTTCAAAAACTCAAAAAGAGATTACAGCATTGGGCACACAATAAGGGCGACAAATTCTAAGACTGCATGCGAAGGTCACAGGTGAGTGCCTTCTGACTCAGCGGCTTCTGCTTCCTTTGCCTCTGCGCGTACTGGCTGTGTAACTCAAGACGTGTTACTCACCTCTCTAGGTCTCAGTTCTCCTTCAAATTCCTGACATAGCAGAAGCAGTTAAGAGGCCAGGCTCTGAAATCACTGGAGACTCAATTCTGCTCTACCACTTCTAGTTTTGTGACCTTGAGCAAGTTCCCTGTCTGTACCTCAGTTTGCTCATCTATAAAATGGAGATAAGAGCAGCTACTTCCTGAAGTTGCTTGACAGTAGCTGGCAGGTAATAAATGATTATTAAATAGTAACAACTATTATTATCACTGTCATTGTCTTCATTATGATAACTAATATTTATTACACACTATGCTAAAAGTTTTGATTACTTCATTTAATCTCCACAGCAGTCCTACAAAGTATTAAAATTTCCTTTTAAAAGAGCAAGTCAAAGTATACAATACTTGACACACGGTAAAGCACTATTGAAGGTAGACTTTTAAAAAATAATAAGGGAAATAATCCAAAATTAAATACAGCAATATTTGGCTCATGTTTTTATGTCAAGAAAACAAATTTAAGAACAAATCAGAAGACAATGTAAAAGAAAGGAACCCCAACAATCACCGATGGTTGTCCTATTTAAGAATTCTGTATTATGTTGTTTCCCTGATGAGACAATTAGAGATGCTTTTGAAGAGCAGGAGAGAGATTCTCCATCATAATGAAGGCTCCTGGAGCAATGGTTCTTCACCTTCATAGGGTCAGATACACCATTTAATGTGATAGAAGTCTTGGATCCTCTCTCTCCAGCAAAAACAACAAAATACACCTAAACAATTTAGCAAACAATTTCAGGGAGGGTTTAAGGAGTCCAGGATGAAAATCTCTGCCCTAGAGATATGGGACCTTGTTCTTTATATCTTGATATTCTGCATTTATGCTCTGGTATACACTATGTTTTTAAATAAATGAATATATAATACTTAAGTGTTCACTGTCAAATTAAGGTGGGTTGTGTATACCTAACTATTAGTTTCAAACATCACAGTAAGGGACCATTCTGAAAGGGACTAGTTTCATATTATCAGTGTGAAATATTTTGAAATAAAAAAAAAGACATATTTTAGTAGGAAGCTTTAAAATGAACTTGTTAGGCAAATATTTTTGAATATGCTGGACAAAGTATTGTACATGCTAGACAAAATTTACTGACTTTAGGGAAGACATTAAGACCAGAGTGTACAGTTTTTAAACTTACACAACTGTGAATACACAATTAAGATATAAGTAAGATATATCTACCCCACATAGTCTTCCTTCATCCTAGACAAAAGCCAAAGAATAGTATATTTCTAAGTCTCATCTGTTATTTTAAAATAAGAACAGAATGATAGTTGACCACACATAAAATATTAGGTATTAATGTATGATATATGTTTCTATGAAGATAAAACTATAATCTAAAATCTTTTAAATCAATAATTATCCAAGAGCTTACCATTTGGGGGATCTCGTCTTTTTTCTGTTAGAAAACAAAAGAATATTGTTAGACATATATAATATAAAAATCAATGTAAAAAAATTAATTCACCTAAATCTGCCTTATTCCTAAATCAATAATACATAGGGAATTAAGAAAGGTTTCTCTCAGGAACTGACCTTATGCAGACATCTGAATAAAGCAAGTGAAGGAATACCACACTCGAAGGCCCTAAGGATGAAACAGCATGAACGAGCATCATGAAGACTGGACTGAGTGAGCCAGAGGAAGAGTCGAAGTTGTTGCCAGGGACTGGATCGCGTGGGGTTCCACAAGTCATAGTAAAAATATAAATTATATTCTGTGCATGACAGGAAGTCTTACAAGGTTTTGAATAGGGCAAGTGACATGATCTAATTTATGGTTTTAGAAGTTTATCCTGGCTACTCTGTTGAAAAAAGGTAGGGGACATAGAGGGAGACTAGATGGGAGCGGGGTAGCCCAGATGACAGGTCACCGTAACTTAGATTAGGGTGGTAGCAGCAGAGGTGGTGAGAAATAAAGCTGGACATGTTTTTGAAGGTAGACACAATGGGACTCAACTGGTAGTATTTGAGGGACCATGGTGAGCCAGTGACAAGGTGGAGCAATGCCTTTCATTGAGATGCGGAAGACTAGGAGAGGAGTAGAACTGGTCTGGCTGGGATTGGGAAACATGGATCAAGTGCTCTGCTCAGACATATTAAGTTTGAAGGCTATCCTGGCACCCAACTGAAGAAGACAAGTCTGAAGGTCTGGGGAGAAGTGAGTAATGTAGACAAAACTTAGGGAATCATCAGCATTTGGACAGTATTCAAAATACAGGACTGAATGAATGCACAAAGGTCATGAGCATATCCAGAGATGGTCTGAGCACTGGAGAGACCAAAATAATACTGAAAAGCTATAGCCAATTAGGTAGGAGTAAAAGCAGGATAACTTCTACATCAGTCCTTTGCATTTGTACTCTTATATACCACGTCTGACACAATTTTGACTTCAAGATAAAGTTCAAAAATGGCTGAAGAATTTTAAACAAATGTCATTTCCACAGATTTTCTAACATAAAATTTTCAAAGATTATAAGAGAAATACCCATCTATAATGATATATTAGTTTATAAACAGCCATAAACCAAAACCAACAGGGTTTAATTGGGGGACAAGTTAAAAATCCTGGCAATGGGAAATATATGTATTACTGCATCTGGTGGTCTGATAAAGTAATTTTCTGAAATATCTGAAGTAGGCAAGGTTTATCTAAGTCAATAAATATCAATCTCCAGTTTCCAAGGTAATGTTATCTCTGCATTCAGAAAGGAAAACACTTTTTAAATTGGTCATGACACAAATATGGAAATATACTGAGATAAATACAAAGTTTAGAGTGTAAATTCTGAGAAGCAATTACAGTTGACCCTTGAATATGGGTTTGAACTGTATGGATCCACTTATGCCAACTTTTTAAATAACTATATTGGAAATTTTCTGGAGACTTGTGACAATATCAAAAAACATTTCTTTTCTCTAGCTTTATTACAAAAATACAGTCTATAGTACATATACAAAATATTGTTAATTGACTCTTTTAAGTTATTGCTAAGGCTTCCAGTCAACAGTAGGATATTAGTAATTGTTTTTGGGGAGTCAAAAGTTATATGTAGATTTTTGACTGCACAGGTCAGAACCCCTGCATTGCTCAAGGGTCAGCTGTACGTAGAAATGTGATACTATTCTTGGCTTCAGAAACATTCATGTGAAAAAAGGGAGGGTTTGGTTGAACAAAGAAGAATGGGAGATAATGGTGTGAGGTATTTCATAGAAACAGTGCTGAATCAAATCAAGAGACTTAGTATTACAGGACTAGTCAGACTACTTTTGGAGTGTTGTGTTCAAATATAGACCCCAGATTTGAAGCTGGACCATTATTTCAAACCTGGACCATTTGAAGAAGACATAAAAATCTAATGTGGATTCAGAGCACAGTACTGAGGATGATGAGTCTATAAACTACATCATGTGACAAACGAGAAACTAGAACTTGTGCAAGAAGTAAAGGCATGAGGAAGACATGATAGATGACCTCCTACATTAAATGGCTATGGGGAGGAAAAGAAAATACTCTAATTCTTTGTTGCTATAAATGTTGGACTCCATGCATCTCGGTTAAAAAGAGGTGAGGTTGGAGTTTGATGTAGCATGAAGGGCTATCCAACAATGAATCAACAGTCTCTCTATGTTATGATCTTCTGCTTCTAAAGCACTATGTATAAAAGCTTAGAAACTATATAAAACAGAATTCATTTATTCTGTTAAATGCTGAAAGACACCTATAGGTGACCTGTTTATTTCAAAGTCAATTACTCTATACTTCAAGAAGTATTTTTTTTTTTACTTTTCTATATTGAAAATGTCACATATTTTGACTAAAAGGAGCCCCAGAGAGCCCCTGGCCTAGCACAACAATGTATCCTTGAAATAGACATTGAATCATAAATTACTCCATAGCATTAAATCCTTTCCTAGGATGACATCAAATGGTAAATGACCTTGGCTCCAAAAAAGAATAAAAAACAACAGGCCCGTAATAATTCTCCTAGTCACTCATTTCAAGAGGGATATTATAAGATGGCAATAATGAGGCAACGACTTAGTTCACTTTACTTTCATTTTTACTTCACTGCCCCCTTGGAAATCCATTAAAATAACAATGTATCCATTAAAATAACATAATAAACATTATCTGTTATATAATAATAATAAATTAAGATCATTAATAACAATAATAATAAAAATCCATTAAAATAACAATGTATAAAAGAGTGTATAAAATGGAATACATGCTTTTACATTCTTGCTTCCTGGATTCAGTGTGTTCCTTCCTCACGGCTTACTCTCTTACTGGAAAAGCACATCCTGAATACAATGATCTTCAAATTGGGTAACACATACCCCTGGATGTAGAGAGACTTTTCAAGGAGTATGTGGGCATGGCTAATTTCAAGGGGATCTATTTGCTGATATCAACTTCTTTATGTTATTTCTATTAAAACTGATCTGCTTATGAAGATTATTTTGGAGAGGCTCACCTTTCTTATCACATTTCTCCCACTTTACAGAAATGCCTCATACACTGTTGTCAAACAGTTCCATACCAATGAATTTAACACTCTATACTATCCAGCATCATTCTCTAATTGTTTTATATGTATTAGAGTCTTATGCATTAAACTAAGTTCCTTACATTCTTACAATATACAATATTAGGGACAAATAGAGACGAGGCAATATTAACAGATCTTGTTAGTAACTCTGCTTATTTGCTTCTGGGCTTGTCTAAAGTCTCTGTTCACAAAATATAAAATACTGTTAAAAATGTAAATTATGACAATGCCATAAAAAATGCAAATTTAGGAGTCTGTGTATATGGAATTTTATAAACAAAAAAGATTAGAATTCCTCAATGAATCTAAATAAAACTAGCTCTCAACGAAAAAAATATTTGAAGGTAAGGACTAGCAATAATTTTGTTGTTGTTAGAAATGGCCAGATAGTAAATATTTTAGGCTTTGTCATAACTATCTAACTGTACTGTGGCAAAAAGCAGCCATAGATAATATATAAATTAATGGGCCTCTATAGCTATGTTTCAATAAAACTTTAAAAAAAAATAGGCAATGGGCCAGTTTGTCCCATGAGCCATAGTTTGCCAAGTCCTGTTTAAAATAATTTTTTAAAAAATTTACCAGATTTCCTTTGTCGTCGGCCCAACAAGTCTGTAACTGCTTTTCGGAATTTTTTTGCTTCTTCTTCATTGGCAAAATTAAGAGCAACTTGACAAGTCTGAAATATTTTCATCAAAAAAGGTAAAAAACAAAAAACATAAAATTAGCTTCATTTAGTGAAAAACTTGATAACCAACAGGAGTACATATCTGAAGAAAAAAAGCTTGACTTTATTAGCAGACAAGAACTTATTTTATGACCTGAATAATTTAAGAAGGCAAAAAGCATAGAGAATATAAAGACTAAATTTAGAAAGGTTACCAGTAGACACTCAAATTTTTAAATCAAATACTTTATCTTCAACAAAAAAAACAAAATAGTAAACTGAATCTGACCTTTCATTAGAGCTCTGTAAATAATTGGATTAGAAAAGGAAAACACTGGAAAAGTTGGTTAAATGCAGGTCAACTCTTTCTTTACTAGTTCTGGTTTGTACTTTACAGCTTAATTAAAGGTATTTAAATTATAATCTTAATTCGGGTAAATTCTTAAAAATGTGGAAACGCTGACATTATGACACCATTTATTATTATGGCATTTAACGCATACTTTTATATATGTGTATGTATATTTATCTTATCAAGAAAAAGGTGAAAAATAACAGTTAGAGAAGAACATACTTCCTGAAAACATGGGTATGTCATCTAATGACACATTTTTTTTCTTTCACTGTAGAGAATTTAGGAAATACAAATATGAAAACAAAGAAAATTAAAATCACCCATAATCCAGTCACTAAGAAAATATCTGTGAGTACACTGTATAGAAATCCTTGCAAGATTTCCCCATGTATATGCAGTGCATTTAAAAAATTCTGCTTCTCTCCCACCTTTATTGTGTTTCAGCCCTCTTCTAGGTCAGGAACTATTCTTTCACAAAATAATTTTAATGGCAATATAATATTTAATATTTAAAAGTTACCATGGATTATTAGATAATTAAAACTTCATTTTCATAGATAAGAAAAGTAAAGCACAGAGAGGTTGAACTATTTGCCTAAAGTCACACAGAGGCTTATCCTATCTGTCCCAAGACAGAGTGAGGATGAAAAAAACCTCTTTTCTAATGGCAGATTACATTTACAGTACTCTTTGAAACCTTTTTTTTTGGCTCTTAAAATCTTAGCTCTTTGTTCCTACTTACCTATACCTATGAAGAAGCTTTTAAAAAAAACTCTTTATATTTTATACCATATTTACATAAAAAGCTCATAACTGCTTTCCACAAATATAAAAGCAATTATATTCAACAGGGCAATGAAGGAAAATATGACTTACATCTCCAGCAAATGTATGAAAATATCCTCTAGGACTATTATATACAAAATTATTGTATAGCTCTTGTTCCCACAACTGTTTGCCATCCTAGAAAAAAGTAAAGGTTAAAATAATAGAGTTACCAAAAAAACATAAGCTCTAGGAGTAAAATACAATAGATGGCTTGTATTAAGGGAATTGTTATTAACAATAGTTTTACATACATATATACCACATACAATATGTAACAGATGACATAATTTAATCAGTAATTTCTCAATAACATAACAGTAAATTCTGTATATTCTTTCTTTCATAAAAACTACTTATCAAGTAAGTTTAATACAGTACACTAAAATACACTGTCACTAGCCAAACATTCCCAAATACAATTATGTGGTTAGATACATAACTAGAACAAAAAACTGGATCATCAATATTAGATAAAAAGAACAGGATACTTTTTGTACAGTGCTGATTATCAATGCATAGTTCCATAAGCAATATTTAGACTGTGTGCTATCAAATATTACAGGCTTATGTCATGCTCTTTTCCTCAGTTCTGTAGATGCTGGGATGGTCAAATATACCTTGTCTGTACTGTTCATTAACTATCTTTGTATTCCTAATTTTTGCAGAGTGGTCTCCTAATTCAAGACTGGTGTAAGTAGTATCAATTATATGCAGAAAGCGACTGATGATTAAAATGCACCATGGTTAATCAATGGTTAAGAGGACCATGGATGATTGTTACATCTATGGCCATTGGGTAAGAAATATAATTAACCTTAATACCAAAGCTAATTGCAAATATTTGGCAATGGTTACCTGAAAATAAAGTAAGTGGTTAGAGAAATGTAATCACTGTCCTATTCTGAAACGTAAGGTTCTACGAACAACATAATTTAAAAATATTTACAATAAATAGTACAATACATTATAACCTTTCTTCTCAGTGGTATTATACATATATTCAATTTCAAAAGTTTCTCACTGGTGATGAGAAGTATGTGTATGCATTTATTCCCCAGCCCCCAGGATCACTGCCACAGTAAGCCACTGTTAGTAACAGGCATATGCCCCATGTCTCAGCTGTCTTGGGATATTAAGAAATGAATGTTAAAAAGCACTAATTTACAAAGTGCCAGTAACTTAAATAACAGTCTTACTACAATGTACCTGACCATAATTACCATCCAGGAGTTCAGGGTCAGTTTTAGTTTTTTTGTGATTAAAACGTTGCAATGCTTACTGACACATATAAACATTCAAGGAGGCTACCTACAGAAAAGTTTTAAAGGATAAATGGAGACTTCATCTCAGCAAAAAGATAATTACTTTTATGACATAAGAGATGAATACCTGACAAATGAAAATCTAGGACAATGGGGATTAATGTTTGAGAGTGAGGGATACAAAGCTGTGAAAACATGAACATAACCTATGTTAAGAAACAACATAAGGAAAAATGGGTAGCAGATACATTACTACAGATATTGTATAATGCTTTAAACCTATGCTGAAGTAAGTAACAGGATATATACCAAGCTAAAATACACTTAGTTCCCTGAAAGGACTACGTACTCTAGTCTGTAATGGACAGGATGGAATAAGAGTATCATTAGAAAAGGAGATAATGGGGAAAGCCCAAAACCCGAAGGCATAAAAAAAATTTTATTTTGATGTGTGGTGGCACTGGAAAAGTAAAATAGGGACTATTTGTGTTCTGGCTCAGGACATGTTCCCATTTGGTCACCATGTCCATGCTTCAATGTCTAAAACCAAGCTTCACTCTTCTAATATTTAAGTACACACAGCATAAAGAAATCTATACCAAATTATAATTGGGGTAGAAAACTAATCACCTGCAGTTTCAAGTGGAAACAAAACAAACTTACCTTGATATCAAATATTCTTAAAAAATAAGATCTTTGTGGATTGTCCTTAACAAGACAAGCAACACCACTGCACTTCTTTGACCACATACAGTTCCGATCTGCTGCATATAACTGTACTACTGCTGAAGACATAGTCTACAAAATATAAAATGTATAGCCGTTATGTTTAAATGAACACTCGGATGACCAGGGCCCCTGCTGACAGCATAACTGCAAACTCATGAGGGACACCAAACCCGAAACACCCAGCTCAGCTGCTTCTGAATTCCCGACCCACAGAAACAAGGAAATAATAAACATTTATTGTTATCTTAAGCCACTACTTTTTGAAGTAATTTCTTGTTTAAAAAAATAAGTAACACAATAACTATAACTAAACGTAATTATTCAAAGTACTTATTTGTGGGGGATGGAATTGTTAATGACAGGGCCCTGTCATTAACAATTCCATCCCCCACACTGATTGATGTTTAGTATGTGTTAGGAAAAGTGTCAAAGTATAACTCTATTTAATTTTGCTATTATAGCCTCATTTTATGTTTGAGAAACCCAAGGTGAAAGAGGATAGTTTTCCCAATATTACACAGCTAAGGGGCAGAGTTAAAATTCCAATCCAAGCTATTTGTGACTTCAGACCCTGTATTCTTACTCCCTATAATATACAGTAGTTCCCCCTTATCTATGGGGGATATGTTTCAAGACCTCCAGTGGATGCCTGAAACCACAGATAGTACTGAACCCTATATTTACTGTTTCTTCCTATATATACATACCAATGATAAAGTCTAATTTGTAAGATAGGCACAGTAAGAGAGTAACAATAATAAAAAAATACAATTATAATAGACTCATCAAAGTTATGTGGACTCACTCTCCCTCAAAATATCTTACTATATTGTACTCATCCTTCTTTTTTCTTGTGATGATAATAGATAAGAAAATGGGTGTGTGATGAGATGAGGTGAGGTAAATGATGTTGGCCTTGTGACCTAGCATTAGGCTACTACTGACCTGCTGCTGTGTCAGGAGGAGAAGCATCTGCTTCCATACCAGCTAAGTAAAACTGTGGAAAGAGGAACTGCAGATAAAGGGGGGACTACTGTACTGTTTTCCAATAAGGTGAATATTTTAGTGATGAAACAGTAGTACTATTAAAAGCTGACTTCTCTATAGCAGTTAACCACTCTAGTATAGGTACTAAGTCTAACTTGAAAGCAAGGTTTATGTTCACTAACAATAGTGCTGGACACTGAACACATTATTATTATCCCAGAAAGTAGATTCTAATATCTCCTTTTTAAAGCTGATAAAACTGAGAGAAGGAAGATGTTAAATGACTTGTGAGACTACACAGATTGAAAGCTGTTAAGATATGAAAAATGATTTGAGTGACTATTGTCCCAATTTTCCCAAGGATATACTTCAGTAGTACTCTTTTAAATGTATAAGAAAGAAGCTAATTAATTACATGCAGTGGACACCACAGAGTATTAAGGTTTTCCAGTATACCATGTTGCCACCTCTCATTACTGTATCATGAAATAATGGAAACTTTCATTTAATTCTAAATTAAGCTACTTTTATATTATAATCAAGAATACAACTATTTAATCTTAGTTACTTTAAGAGTGATACACTGGTTCAGAATTTACAAATCCTCTGAAAGCAATACTCATGGCTTCTGATCTAATAATCTCATACTAAAGTAGAATATAAGGAAATAATTTAAAATAAAATAATTCTTATTTTTAATATAAACATAAACAACAAAGTATTTATATGAATATACATTACTTAGGGTTCTTTTTAAATAGAAGGAATTCAAATAACCACAAATAGATGATTAATTATGGTACATCAGCTCAATAAATACAAAGCATTATAATAGGAAATAGACTGGGTTAAGATTTGGAGATACTATTGTTTTAGATTACTTAACCAAGCCTGGGGGAATACTCTCCTTTGATAATAAGATTCCAAAGGATTATTATACATATAAGTCTTTTAGAATAAAGTCAGAAATATAAGATCAGTTACTGCTGGGGACCAAATTTCCTAAAGGCTTTCCTAGATAACAGTACTCCATGCTGTTTTTACATTTGACAATCCAACATCATCTTTGAATTTCTGTTATGAATAGGACACAGTGCAGCAGACATGAGCCATTAAAAAAATTATGAAGATAGCTTAGAGGCATAAAAAATGTATATATTAGGACACTGAGTTTAAAAAAGGAGATTAAAGAATGTTGGGTATGCCTTTGGCCTGCTCAAAACTGTGTTCTACAAGTGCACAATGTAAGCATGACAGTCCATAGGTTCCCAGACCTCAAACCCACAGAAAAGTGGATTTTGCATATATTGTCCAAAGGTATTAGAAAAAAGGCTGAAGAATCAGAAAATCAAATGAAAAAATTTTCTAAGGAAAATTCTTATAAATGACAGCCTTTTAATATAGTGTAATCAAAATGCATTCATTCTTAAAAGAAAAGCAATCAGGAAACTAGATACCAAGAAAAAGTTCTAAAAATCCTCTTTACTTTTTAATCAGAAAACAAAAAGTAACAGCTAACCAAAGAAAAAACTGTGGTATTAAATAATCTGAAATTCCATTATGGAAATCCCCTTGCCAAAGGACTAAATTGCAAAACACTGTAAAACATTGTTTGGATGTATATGTGAACTTTAAAAAAAAGTAAAAACACACAACTAAAAATCCATATTTAAACATTTATATAAATCTAAATTCTTAAGACATCTTAAGATCTGTGAAACAAATTAGAAAAAAAAGATTTGTGAAAGTTTAATAACTTTCCACACAAACATGATTGGCATTGTAAACCTTATTCTAAAACAATTTATAAAAATTTAGTACTAAAGAATCCAAATAATTAAAAGCAATTTTCAGTAACTGGATTTTTAAAATTTTACTATAATCTTATTGTCTAACTACATGTCTATTTCAATCCTTATCTTAAACTGGCAAAGTCTGAAAATTATAGACCATAGCACTTTGTAAAGCCTTTTCTGATTAATACAGAATTATAGTGAATACAAGAGTAGCTTACACATATAATGCTTAATATATAAATCCTAGAAATACAAAAACAGTGACTATCCCTTAAACTAGACTGACAGTGGCTTAATTAAGCTTTTAAAAACATTCCTTTCATTCCTTAAAGTAATTACAGCTAATCACAACTCCATTACTTCTTGTCTTTCATAATCAAGCAGGTATTACCGGAAAACAACCTAAGGAGACAAGTGCTTAGGAAAGGACGTCTATTTCTTATTAGCCCAATGTTATGGATAAAATTTGTTGATTAAAAAGAGAAAAAGTACTGTTATCAACTTTTATAGAAATAGAGCCTATCCTATTTTATGTATTCCTGATATTGTCAGTACTGAGTTATTGCCAAGGCATATTCATCCTCAGAACTTTCATTGTGAAGGACAGAAGAAAGATGAAGGGTGAATTCTGGGAAGTGACTCCCTCTCATCCATCCTTCAGCAGGGCACTTCCAACCTTGCTGGAATTGACTCTGCATCAGAATTTCTCTGATCCCCTAATTGAAATGACTATAGAAAAAAAAGATTTGTGAAAGTTTAATAACTTTCCACACAAACATGATTGGCATTGTAAACCTTATTCTAAAACAATTTATAAAAATTTAGTACTAAAGAATCCAAATAATTAAAAGCAATTTTCAGTAACTGGATTTTTAAAATTTTACTATAATCTTATTGTCTAACTACATGTCTATTTCAATCCTTATCTTAAACTGGCAAAGTCTGAAAATTATAGACCATAGCACTTTGTAAAGCCTTTTCTGATTAATACAGAATTATAGTGAATACAAGAGTAGCTTACACATATAATGCTTAATATATAAATCCTAGAAATACAAAAACAGTGACTATCCCTTAAACTAGACTGACAGTGGCTTAATTAAGCTTTTAAAAACATTCCTTTCATTCCTTAAAGTAATTACAGCTAATCACAACTCCATTACTTCTTGTCTTTCATAATCAAGCAGGTATTACTGGAAAACAACCTAAGGAGACAAGTGCTTAGGAAAGGACGTCTATTTCTTATTAGCCCAATGTTATGGATAAAATTTGTTGATTAAAAAGAGAAAAAGTACTGTTATCAACTTTTATAGAAATAGAGCCTATCCTATTTTATGTATTCCTGATATTGTCAGTACTGAGTTATTGCCAAGGCATATTCATCCTCAGAACTTTCATTGTGAAGGACAGAAGAAAGATGAAGGGTGAATTCTGGGAAGTGACTCCCTCTCATCCATCCTTCAGCAGGGCACTTCCAACCTTGCTGGAATTGACTCTGCATCAGAATTTCTCTGATCCCCTAATTGAAATGACTCTGCTTTTGTTTGTATTTCTACAGTATATTTTTGTCTATCTTGTGTAAATCTTGATACATCACAGATCTTAATCTAAAGTAGAATCATTTTCTGTATTGATTTACTAACCACTAAGCAGAATGTACTTCCCTTAAGCATCTAAAATACTTTTACAAGGCTAATACCTCACCTATACTTTGTCCCAAGTAAGCAAACATTTGTTAAATTAAAAATTATATATTCCAATTTTAATAGAGATACTATAATAAGTAGTAAGAGTGGCCTTGATTTTAAGATACACACCCTAAAGTATTATAAAGTGGCATGATATGGGCAACTGCCTTGAGTGATTCAGAAAATTATATATATATATCCAGAGAGACAGAGAGAGAGAACTATGATAAAATGTTACGTTTGACAAATCTGGATGAAAGATATACAAGGTTCTTCATACATATTTGCAACTTTTCAGTATGTAATTATATTGAAATCAAAAAAATTAAATGCACAAATGTTTCATAAAAATAAAAGACTCTTAGCTCCCTGCCACAGCCATGACAGTCTTGGGAAGGTGGCTCTCTTCTCAGAGCTAATGCTACTTCTACAGACACTAGCTGCTGTTACACTGACCCAAAATAAAGGAACTGCCACTTCTTCCAACTCTCTCTGTACTTACACCATCTTTTTTAAAAGAAACTTCATCCTGAGTAAGACTTAAATAAAAAACATCCACCACTTCTATAGTTTGAATTCCTTTCACATGATCAGAGCA